ATAAATATTATTTATTTATAAATAAAGGTGTGCAATATGAATTGCATATAAATGTTATGTGTGATTTCATTATTATTGTTATCCAGGGTGTTCATGGAGTCCCCCAAAATCCTGAAGAGCTCTCAAACTTTCGACAGAAGTCTGAGAAGGCTTCAAAGAACCAGGTTCATACCCCACCAAAGGAGCTGTCAGTAGCCAATGGGACTTCCCACTCCCCTCTGATGAGGAAGAACACGAGGGTGGAAGGTTACAATCCTGAATCCAAGTCCAGACTGAGAAGAACTGGTTGGACTTGCAAGGAATGTTCACAGTGGATCCCCGATCGGGAAACCTATGTGTCCCACATGAAGAGAAGTCATGGAAGGGTAAGGACTCAGATGAAACACTTCAACTAGGTAACAAGATATTTTTAGCAAAAGAGTCTGATAATCGTTAATATCTGGGACAAAAAGAAACCAAGAATCTGATTGCCAGCTCACTGAGGAGTAAGCTCAGGGCCAGAACAAAAAAAAAATCATGTAGCCTGTTGTAAGCACACTTTCCGTCCTTGATCATATACTCTACAACCTGCATACCTCATCCTCTTTATTGTTCCTTCTTCCACTGCATCTAATGTCAGGCTTCCTCTTCGGTTCATCTGGGTAAGTGGATGGAAAGTCATGTCTTCTCCAGTTGCTGGTTCAACAACCTGAGCTAAACTATCTACACTCAAAGTTACAGAAGGACATACAGTTCCTCCAAATTATGTTGTATTGTTTGGTAGATACCACTACATCTAAGTGGGGAAGAGTAACAGACTCATGACAGTGCACAGAGCTGTCATTATAAGAACTGTAAATCTCAATTTTGTTGGTTTCATCCAGCTCAAGCCTTGTGTTGCCTTGACCTACTTCTGTCAAGCTAATACTTGCTTGCTGGCAGAACATAGGCCAAGATGTTGTGTGCAGCCAGATTTCTTAGTACTTTGGCATCAGAGCTTCTTGTTTGATATACTAAGTCATCCTTCTCGAGTCCCCTGAGCAGAGGCTGTGGAAATCTGGATCATCGTCTTTGATTCCTTCTAGCTTGACTTGGGGAGTGCTGGATTGTCCATTTGATAAGTATCAAGAGAAGATGGGGGCAGGGTGAGAATGCTGGATTTTCCAATTTGAATTCTATAGAAGTAGGAAATTTGCCAAATATTTAAGTTCAATACATATATGTATTCATTAAACTTGTCTAAGAAGATCTTAAATGGAATGCATGCAGGTTATACGAAGGACTGTAGGAAAAGGAGGAGGCTAGTTACAGGGCAGAGTTGTGTAGGGGGATGTGGATGTGATAAATGGATAACAAGTGGGACTATGTGATGTTCTTTAACATCTTGCCCTTTTATTGTGCTGAATTATGAGGAGAGAGAAGGTTAAGTGGATTTGTACTTCACACTGGGGTCCTGCCTTCTTCTGGGGCAGAAGGGACCTTCCACTGAATTAGTCCTGCAGAGGGTCTTGTAGTGAAATGAGCCCACAGGAGAAGCAGCTAATGCAATTCCTATTAAAAAAAAAAAAATCAAGCATGTACGTTAACTAGTCCTGATTTTTATAAGACCAATGCTGGTATTAGCCAACTGTTGGGCTGAGTATAAGTGGGACTCCAAAATCTCAGTGATCTTCATCAGTGGAAGAGGGATTTTTTGCACCTGAGAGGTAGGGTCCAGATGAAGGGCATGGGAATGTTAGAATCCAGTCAATGCTTTCCATCTCCCTGTTATTAAAAGATGTTTCTGTTCTTTTGCTAGTCTATGAAGAGATATCCCTGTCGACAGTGTGAACGCTCATTTAATGCCTCCAACAGTCTGCGTAGACACATCCGCAATAATCACGACACAGCAAAGAAAGTTTATACTTGCTGGTACGTACTGAACGCCACTTTTCAAATTTGTTTTCAACAACAGGCTAATCTTTCAAGTTTGGAAGCCCTTTGTAATAGATCATGTCTGCTCCTATCTACTCCAGGCTATAAGTTACTGAGGGGGAGTGAGAAGAAGAACATGTTAAACATGAGAGACTTGGTGGCTAAAATAAGTCCTTGCTTTTGACTGCACAATGCCCTTTGGAAACTTAGGGTAAGGTTTGATTTGAGATCTGCAGGTGCAAAATGAGAATTATATTGTGCACCCTTGTGGAACAGCCAATAAAATATTGGGCCAGTCTTTCTCTGCAACGTGGTTAGTGTAGTCATGCATCACTCTTATGCCTTCCCCATTAAAAAATGGTACAAAAGGTGTGTAAAATCTTAATGAACCAGGGCACTAGATCTTGCCACCACTTTCCAAAGGCAGAACTGACTGCACAAGCTGCTGGGCAAAGGAGAATTAAGCCTGCTGGATTTGCTTGGGAAGACGCATCTCAAAGTTGGAAAATGGATTTGGAGACTTCAGATGAGCTATGTAAATCAGCAGTGAATGAAAATAATTGCTGGTGAATGTATTTTAACTGTGCATACAGTCTCAGTTCAGGACAAAGCCCAGTGCTTACTAAACTGCCTCTACAACTGCTGTGTTCTCATCTACTGTTGCAGATGAAATCATACACCAAGCGACCGTGCAGACTTGCTTCCTGTCTCATTCTGAGACATCCTTCTGAAACAGAATTAAAGCACATTTGTGTTGGAAGGGAAGTTTGCAGTGATGTAGGTTGAGGGATTTTTTTTTTTTTTAAAACTAAAATTTTTGTTTAATGCAAGTGTCTCTGAAGAGTGTGCTGTCACTCTATTGCACTTAAGTTACTAAAAGGCTGTCTTGAAGAATACATCCCTCATGTACTTTATTTCTTTGGACTGCCTAGTGAGCCACAATAGCTTTTAGTAAATGGATAAAGTATTGGCATCACCACTGGGGCCCGATAGGAATACATTCCTGATGCATTTTTCAGCCAGGACTTCTAAACTTTCCATTTCTTGTAACTGTGCTCTGACTTGGAACCTCTGGAGAAGATGAAATGTTGGCTCCCACTACATTTCATTCTGCTTTAAGTTTGTGGGTGATGGTCTTTGTAGTTATGTTCACCTGATTTGTATAAATCTATTCTCTCTGGATACACTCACTTTTCAAAGTGGAGTGTATCAGAGTCAAACTGAACATAAGGCCTAGGTGGGAAGAAGGATGTATACAGAAATACCTAACAACCTGGGATGTGCCAGCCTACTGTATGCATTAGCTTGTACAGGCCCTGGAGTCCAGTTTTTCTATTACTTTTCAGAACGACACAAAGTTGTGGATCCACAGCTTCACGCAAGGGTCCATGGTCATGCCATGTTTACAGCAGAGAAGACACAGCTAGAAATTTAAGTGAATTGTGGTTGTGTTTAATTCTCAAGCTTGTAGTTGGTCCTTCTCAAAATCTGTTGATGAAGTCTTAATTGGACAGTGGATGTGCTCTCTTTAATCATTGTAGTGGGAGACTTACTGAAATCACAGCACTCTTCAAATGAAACCTCCTCCTTGAAATACTTGTCCCAGCATCTCCAACAGCTGCTCTTTGTTTGGATCTGAGGTCTTCTGTTCAGTCTCCCCTTTGATCCCTCTTAGTTTGTCCAGAGCACAGTTCTAAAAATCTCTGTGACTGTTGCTTGCGAATCCTCCCATCTCTTTGAATTCCTCTTCAGCTCCTTTCTGTGCTCTGTAAGGCATCACATCTCTGCCGCTCCTTTTCTTTTCCCTTGATTGCTGGTGTCTGTTTTCCTTCTTCCTGCCAGGCAGTTTGTATCAGTCTCACGTGTTATTCCCTTCAGGGGTTTTGATGCCTTAACTTCATGTCAACCTCTTCTCCTGGATTTCCATGTACAGCATGAGTAAAATTTGTCATTGATCCGACAATTGAGTATTTTTGTGACTCCAGCATGCTGTCTTGTAGGTGACCTCCGTCTGGCTTCTAACATTTCAGGCTGTGATTTCCCCTTCCTCCTCTGCCCTGCTTAGGTCTCTGCCTTCTGTTAAATATGTAGGGAGAAACCAGTGATGGAGGACTTGATTGAACACTCAAGCAAGCCAAGCTTGTCACTGGAGTAATTCAGATTAGGAAAGCATCTTTCCCTGCTTACATGAAAAAAAATCTAAATTAGGACAAATTTCAAAATATTCTGATGTTTTGTGTATTTTCTTTCATAATTCACTTGGTTACTGTTATGAGAACTTGCTCTTATTTTCCTAGTCTTAAGTACAAACTGTCTGGAACACTTGATTTTCAACATGTTTATTTTTGATAAATACCGCTTAATAACCTCTCATCTTACCTCCATGAGGGAGAAAAATTCCATCATTGTTAAATACTGATATATCATCTAAGCGGTTCCTGTTAAAAAACAGAAGTATTCAATGAGCACATCTGCATTTTCACATCATTACTGAGTGTTGTTTAATTTCCATCTAGTTACTGGAAGATCAGTAGGAATCTTCTTTTCTCCTTTTGTTGCCCAGAGACACTTCATCTCCTCTCTGTTGCTTTTCATCCCTTGCTGCCAACTTTTCAACTGCAATTTGTGCATTTTAGAGAAGTCTGGTGTTCTTGCCTCATTGCTCGCATCAATGCATAGCTGGTGGACCTTCCCTGTGTCACACTGGCAGGCAGTAGAAGAGTACAAAGTCAGTCTTGGGTTTCCCAATTGCTAACAGAGACCTCTCTGTACTTCACCATGCTGCAGGGAGGGTGGTTTATGTGTCTGCAAGACCTAGCACTTATTTCCAGTCATGCAGGAGTGAAGGTTAGCAGATGGCACATCCCTTTCACATCTCTGTTTGAAATGTGAACCATGGTCTCTGCCAGGTCTTGAATCCTACCAAGTTTTAACACAAATAGTTACGTATAAACAATATATTCATGAGTGCTTCTGCCTAGGTTATTGTTATCAAAGTTGGAAGTTCAGCAGTTTTGTAAGAATTTTAAGTGTGTTATGATATACATGGTCTTGTGGATGGGATGCTTCACTGGTGCTTGGGAGCACTGGGTGCAGAATCTGGTTCTGCTGCAGGCCTCCTCAGTGTTACACAAGTCGAGGTCCATCTGTGCGTAGGTGTCTCATCTGAGAGCCGTTTTTCTCCCATGTGTTTTCCATCTTGCTTATTTATCTTGTACTTGTGTAGCATGTATCACAGTGGGCCTGATCTCCACTAGTCCCTGTATTTATTTAGTACTGTACTGTAAATAAGATGTGCCCTACTTTCATTCTCATTCATGCTTGGTAAATTCTAAACTGTTTTAGATTTCTCTCAGGGGTAATGTTTTATTATTAAAACGATGATTTGCTGCATATTTTGGTAATCTAATAGTACATTACTCACCAGCGGCTGTCTTCAATGACACCTATTGGTTTGGCACATAATGAAGAGCTGTTTGAATGGAAATGAACAGCTGGGCATTTCCTTTAATAAATTTTCTTGCTTTTTGTATTTCCAAGGTACTGCACAGATGAAAATCAGACATTTCCTCAGCCGTTCATGCTGGAGAATCACATCAACCTCATGCACGGCATCAGAAACCCAGACTTATCCCAGATGGCCAAAGCAAAAGCTCCAGAGGGAGACACAGCAGAAGTAACTGATATATTTTCACTGAAAAATAAATGTATCTGGCGAGTAGCTGTTCACTTGGGGTGTTATGTCAAGCCGCAGCCTTGTGGCAGTCAAGCCCTCTCATCCATATGGCAGAGTTCCTTCCCCTGCTCTCAGCTTCATCTGGTTTGCTTCTCTCTGGCGGTGTCAGGATCAGAACTGAAAGCGCAGCTGAGCTGCAGCAGTACCAGGGCAACATATCTTGCATTTTTCAAGATATTCTTGAATGTGTCACCCTCTGTTTTACTGGCCTTTTTTCAGTCTAGTTTGTAACCAGGTCTAATTTAGGTTTGTTATTACCATTGTTTTCCCCTGCCACTCTGTTCATGAGCCTGGTACATTTTTCCTCTTTCTCCCTTGTTTTTTCTGCTGGTTACAAAAGATTTCTTTTCTGTTTTAAAATACTTATTGAATCCATAATCCACCTACGTGAACTGCATTCCTCCTAAGTAGGGCTGTGTAATTTTTTTTCAGCAAATGTAACTGTTCAATGAATTTTATTTTGGGTTGGTTTGGAGTGGAGGGTTGGCTGATTGGGCTTCTTTGCTCCATTTACTTCAAAAATAGACGTACGTTTTCCATACCACTGCAATTTATCGTTCGTCTGTACCCTAGCATTGAGGGATTGTTCCCCTCTGTATTTACGCTGTAAGGAAACCTGGGGTAACTTAAGAATTCACTTCCATGAGCTGGTGGCTGCTTCCCCCAAGCAGAGCTGCTGTACCAGGGCACCCGGCTAAATGGGGGCAGACGGTGGCTTCACGTGGCTCCAGCTGGGTCTGCAAACACAAGCCTATAAGCTGTATCCTAAACATTGCTGCTGGATAAGGAGACAATAAAATCACCTGAACAGATACATGCAAGCAAGCTATCCTCATGGGAGGAGAAGCATGCTGTGGGATTATAAGACAGAGGGGATGAGTTAATGAGAAATGCCATGAAGAAAAGGCCTGAGTGGAGGGGAAGATGTTCATAGTTAAATCTGAGAAGCATTGTCTGGGCTGATGAACATCCCCATGTCCCTCAGCTGTCCCTGCTCTGTGGGCTCCTCCTTCCCACACCAAGTTCACGTTCTCTTTCCCCATCACATTTCTGCCCAGCCAACTCCTCCCAGGTCTCCCTTCTCATGTCACAGGACAGCCGTTGAGATCCTGCATGTTGGGGTGAGGTGTTTGGGTACTAGTAGGAAAGGCAATGCAATAAATTCCCTAGGCATGGCTTCGTTTAGGTTGTATCAAAATACCAATGTGTATTCACCCTCAGGTGTCTTCAGATATGCGTGTGGAATTTAGCACTTCTTCTTCCATAGGCTTGAACAATAAAGTAACTTTTTAATCTTATTTTTTTAAGGCAAAATCTCCAAAGAGGATGGCAATGGATGAGCTGGGTCAGGCAGAGACCGCTGCGGGTTCAGACACGCCGCCAGCCAAAAAACTGAAAGCGCATTGGAAATGCGCTAAATGCGGATTTGCGACAGACATCAGTACTGAGTTTCAGGAACACATACCTCGGCACAAGACAGACAGCTCCACCTACCAGTGCTTGTTCTGCGGCTTGTGCTACACCTCTCACATCTCTCTGAACAGACACCTCTTCATTGTTCATAAAGTAAAAGATGAGGAAGAGGAGGAGGAGGAAGAAGAAGAGGAGGAGGAGGAAATTGAAAGGCAGAAGTTACAAAGGGAGATGAGTGAGAACAGACATGAGGGGTATAATGGCAAGATGAACACTACAGTGGAAGAAGAAAACCTGAAATGCAAGGAGTGCAAAAGTGACTCAGCTCTTTGTGAACACAGTCAGACATATGGCACGGAGGGTCCTAATAGCACCATGCAGAACAATCATTCGAAGTCTCTTAAGACTTAAAAACAAAAAAACCCCTTTTGGTTGGTCGAGGGGTTTTTGTTGGTTTTTTTTTACTGAAACTACGGGGTGGGGATGGGGCAAATCTTTGAAATATTCTGTTGATTTCTTGGGATGGACGTTGCTTTCCGTTAACTTCTATTTGTAAGGGAAATTTAAAAGAGAAAAAGAAACCTCTGCCATTGCATCCTAAGCACTAACTCTCTGCCAGACCAGAGGGTTGAAAAGGGAACGCAGGGCGAGAATCCTCGCTGGAGCTTGTCCAACTCCTGAGGATCAAGGAGCACTTTCTGCAGCTGCAGTTTCCTTAAGATGAGCTCTCTTCCTTCAAGCGTGCACTGCCTCAGCCACTGCCCAGAGCCCCAGCCTTGCCTTCTCTATCTCGCTTTCTTTCTCCTTCTATTTATGGCTTCTTTTTTTTCTTCCTACCCTGCCTTTGTTTTACTCATTTTAACTCATAAAACTGTCTTAGCAAAACGTGCTTGTCAGGACCGTGCTGGCCGATCCGGGATCTTCTGTGTTACACAGGACGAGTGCAGGTTGTGCTGATTTTTCTTTAATTGCCTGAATAACAACTTTATTTTCCAAAAGGCAATTTAATGAAATGTCTCGGACCTGAATCATCCTGAAAGAATTTTGTAGCCCCTGCCCTCTCAGGTGAGCACAGCTCAAAGCCACGTGTCATGTTGAGGAGGGTCTGGTGCCCCTTGGGAACTTGCTGCCTGCATGTCAGTGGAGTTGCGCTGCTGGAAGCCATCCCGGGGTGGGTGCAGCTGGGCCTGATGCTTGGTGGCTCATCCTGGCAGGGACCTTGAGCAGAGCCGGGTGGCAGGTTGGCACCATCCCCTGAAGGGGGAAACATCCCCCATCCCTGTCCATGGCGTCAGCTGCAGTGGAACCGGCCTGGTACTCCTCATGGTGTCAGCTTGGTGCCAGGGCTCCCTGATGGGCTCGTTTTGAGCTGCTGCAGCAGAGGAGGGGAGTGCAGCCCAGAGGCATTGGCAGAAGCAGGAACTGCCATCCTGCGGTGCTGCAAGGGCTGGTGCTCCATCAGTAGCTCTTCTCCCACTGCAGCTCAGCATTACCTGTCACCTGGGAGGCGTTTCTTTCCATGTAGTCATATTGACTCTCTCTTTCCTCACTCGTACCCCCATCACACGCACGCTTCATGTAATATAATTATCTTCTATACCATTTTTATTATGTTGAGCCAGAATCCTGCTCATTACTGTTTACTATGATGATGTTTAAATAATTTAAGAACTATTTATCTTATTCCATTCAGATCGCTAACCTTATCATCTTGACGTGTTTTGATACAAACAGTTTGGACTCTTTGTATTTTTTGATACAGTGTACGTTAGCCTAGGGGATGTTTTACCAGGTAGCCTATGTAGAGTTAAGGATAGCAGGGGGCACTCCCGAGCCATCACGTATCTATTTAACCCGCAGCGGCGTTTGTGCCTTGCTATGATGTTTACTTCAAAGTATTGCAAATAAAAGCATCCAAGGGTGCCTGCCTGGGCG